CATCTATGATACACGTTTTTAAGTTATGTATTTCCCTCCATTAGAGTTCTAGGTTTGTTTCTGTTCTCATCTATTAATAATTTTGAACATATCTATACCCAGATTTGGGTTTTCTTGGCCTTTCTTTTTTCATATAACTAGTCCCTTAATGCTTCCTCCTGAGTCTTATTTTCCAAGCTCTTAATCAACATTTCCACTTTCTTCTGGGGCTCTAATGTTATCAGTTGTCCTTTAAAAATGTGGCCATCTGCAAGTAGCAAATAAATAACTCCTAAACTCTTTTCATGCAATAGATTTCTTCTTTAGATTGGTTAATATGATTCTCAGCTAGTCCAGTAAGTGACTTTGCATAATAATAAGCAATTTGTAAATGGCCTAGTCCAGTTCAGCTATTCTTTTTAAGCATTTCTATTCACTGTTAAGTTTTTAAAATGCTTTATAATCATTTTTGCTTGATATTCTTCATAATAAAATTGTGAAATAGGTCAATATGAAACTCACTGGAATCTAAGTTTCTCAGAGATACTACATAATTAGGCTTTTATATTTCTCCAAGGTAAAACAGAGGCTAGCCTCAAAAATATTGGAAGAAAGAATTGGTAATAGTGTCACTTTATAACTTTGCACAGAATTGATGAAACATTCCTAAGGACTTGAAAAGGTACCACTGAACAGATGAGTTTGCTAAACCTTTACATGAAGGTCACCTGACAGCCTTGTGGCACTCTGCGTTTAGAGTTGGATTGCAAGAAGAATTCCTGAAGCAAAATTCCAGATACAGTCTCCTTCACAATAAAAATGATTCAGCTTTCCTACCCAGCCTCTACAACTAACCTCAATCCAATTTCCCACTAACTCTGCTAATTCTTCCTCTGCCATGGGTTTTGAACCATACTCTAAGCCTTAACTCTCCTAAACATCCTCCAGGTTTAGACCTATGTCGCTTCACCTAAGGATTACTCCATTTAACCACTTACATCAATTTTGAAATGCCCTGTATTTTGGCTTCTAAAATATCCCCTATTCTTATCTGGCTGCCTTCATTTTCTTTTGGGGTTCTTTTTTCCCTACAAACTCCTTCTATGCCACTTGTTCCTGATGGGTTTACATTCTGCAGGATGATATATTTTGAGCTCCTCTATCCTTAGTCTATGTAATTCTGAGGTGATCTTATCAACCACAACAGCTTCTAGCAGCACTTCTCTGAAATCTTTCAAATGTCTCTCTCTCCAACCTGGATGTTTCTTCTAAGCTGAAACATATGTCCCCAATACCTATTAAACATCTCTAATGGATACTGCATAAATACCATAAACTTTATATGTCAAACCAGCTTCCTTCAAATGTTTCTCATTTTGAATCTTAGTAAATGTAATTACCATCTACTCAGGAAACAAGACCCTAAATCCTGGAGTCATACCAAAATGTTCTCTGCTTCACTTTCCACATTCAGTAAAACTTTATTTCTCCAAAATATTTGAGAAACTACTATGTACCAGATATTAAGCCATGTGCTAAACATACCGCAGTGAGCAAGGTAGACATCATTCTTATAGAATTTACATCCTAATGGAATGTACAGAGGTAAAGAGGCCATTCATATGGTAATCTATGTGAAAGACATTCCCAAGAGTTTGACAATATACAACCTATGGAGCTGTATATGGTAGTCCTGCAGACACAGTGTCAAAAGAACAAAAGTATCATGTTCGTTATTACTTTTTTTACTATGCCTCTGCATTATAATTTTCCTGGACTGCCACAATAACTCTCTAACCATTTTCTGTCTTTTTTTTCCTAGTCCCTATTGTATTCATCCACTACAACGTTGCCAGAATAATCTTTCTAAAATTCCAAGCTGACCATAACCTTATCATGCTAAACACCACCTATAGGATACAATCCAAAGTCCTTAAACCGGCCTACAAAGCCTTCATGATAGAGCCTCTTTATCCTCCATTCCTCCACACGTTCTCCACTGCGGCCATGCTAAGCTCCTTGCCAATCTCCATGCTCAGAGTACTCTCTCACTGTTCTAGGCCTCGAAACATATTCTACCATAAATAATCCTCCCCATCTGAATCACTTCTTGCCCTTCACACTTATCCCTGGCATCAATCTCTATAAAGTCTTCCTTAAGATTCATCATGGTCCTATGGGTGTCCCAACTCTGCTCTCTCATGTCACCCTGCCATATGCCCAACATATTACTTATGGAATCAGATTATAATTACAAGTTTGCTTCTCTTTCCTGATAGACAATATGTTTTTGAGAGTCAGGGACCCTGCTTTGCTCATTTTCATATTTTTGCTTCCTCTAACAGTGCCTTGCATGTAGGAGTTCCTCGATAAATAGTTGGTGAATAAATTAATTGGTGGCAAATTGTCTACCTTGCATAATGATATTGGGTTTTTCCTCATATACCATGTTATGAAGTCATACCTATCTCGGAATGGACAGTAGTTTCCTAGTCTAGGAGGCCACTCACCCTTCCTGTCTCCATTCCAGGTCCTTCACAGTGTCTAATAAGAGAATCCTTCTGAAAAATGGCAGTCTTACAATTCCTTCAAAGTACAAGACTCACTTTGTGAAGGAAGCCCTCTTCATTACTTCAATAGAAATAGTATATTCTTATTCAGAACTCTCCATGTTTTAACACAGGAATAGATATTTGCCTACTTTTTTGCTAAGAAACTTTTCTGTGTATATGTGTAATAGGGAAGAACAAATCTGACTCCATACTGGATCTGTTTATTTTACTTTAACCTTCCTGTTCTATTGTTTTTGCTACAAGTTAAAAATGTTGCCTACAGCCTGAAATATACAGGATAGCCCATTCTCAAGGCTCTGAGAATTTTAAAGGTATAACATTTCTCCATTCATACAGAGATAAAAAGTTGCAGAACAGAGAATAACATTTATGACTGGACCTGCCTGGACAGCTACAAGAACAAAGGATTCCCACACCAAGAAGTCTGCACTGACCAACCATACACCCTCCCCTTTTAGTATAAAAGAAGTCTGAATTCTAACTTGGATTAACATCGTTCTTTGGGACACTAATCCACCATCTTCTTGGTCTGCTGGCTTTCTGAACAAAGTCGCTATTCCTTACCCCAATACCTCAACTTATTGGACTGTCGTGCGGTGAGCAGTACGAGATTGCACTTGGTAACGTATGCACTCTCTTTACCATGACTGTATTAAGAGCCATAAGAATAAAGACTCTTCTGTCTTTGAGTTGTCTCTATTATCTACCCATTGCTGTAAGTGTGACAGGTATTTAATATATCCTTTTTGAAAAACTTCCCTCTGGATTCCGGTCCCAACATGCTGCCACAACTATTCTTACGAATTCAATTATTTTCTATTTCATCTGATTTGATTTCTTAGCAGTGTCTATCAAAGCTGACTGCTCTCTTTCTTGAAAGATGGACTTTGCTTAGCTTTCCTACACTATGCCCTTCTGATTTGTCTTTTGTCTCTCTGGCTACTTCTCAGTCAGCTATGGAAGCTGTTCTTTAACCGAACCATTAAACCTTCTTCCTCAGAGGTGCCTCCTTCTCCCCCGGGTCCACTTCCCATCTTACTCTTCACAGCTCAATCAATCTGTGCTTTTTATAGTCTCATTTTGAAAGAGGTAGGAAAGTAACTTCATTCCGTCTAATGTATGGAAGAATGTGTTTTAATGAGCATGGTTCCTATGGCAATATTGAACGGGGGGGGAAGAAGAGAAGAGCAAACCACTGGATGATTTTAGAAAAAAATTTCTGCAGATATATAGCATTAAAAGGACATTTTGTGATTAAGTTTTATAAAGACAGGGTTATGTGGAGGGCAGGGAAACTTAAGGGTCGTTTTGTTCTGTAAAATGTAACATGGGGATTCAGATCATGTTAGCGAATATAAAATCACCTGTGTTTGTATGATCTGGCTTTAAACCACCAAAGAGAGTACTGTGCATTTACCCCTGCAAAAGTTGTAACAGGCTTCCTCAGGCAGAAGTGTTTAAGAGTCTGATAATGTCCAGTAACTTACTTAAAAGAGGATAAAACAACACACCGTCAGGCAAGCAATCGGATTTAAATAGAGCCAATTTAGAAAGCACAGTGCTTTAGTAAATTCAGAAATTAATCCAGATTAAGACATTTTGCTTTCAGGATCTATTTCAAAAGACCAATTCTACAGCTCTAACTTAGAAGTGCGAGCAGTGGAGGGAGTCAAAATGTATACGCTATAAAAATCCTCATGCGTTCAAAAGCATACCTTCAAAAATTGTAGAGCAAAGTCATCAGATTGAATTATTTCGAAATGATAGAAATATAGCTTATTGTTTTAAAGAATAAATCCATTGGGAATGGGGAAGATTGTAATTTATTCTGATATAAAGAATCTAGAAATTTAGATAATATATCTGAAACACATTTCTGTCTTTTGTATAACACAGTTTATGTTAAATTGTTTGTTCAAGGAGTTATTTGATCTATACGTTTCATCCAGAAAACTGACACATTTCTCCTATGCACATGAAGTAAGTTACTGACTGGAGTCCACAGGTCTCTAAAGCAAACTTAAGAATTTAATTGAAATTTTATTGCCACATACGCCTATCCAATCAAGGAGAAACTAGTGATTTTTTATAGTTCAGAATTGTGTTCTGAGAGCTAAACTTTCACATCTGAGTTCAAAGAACTCCCAAAGACAAGATGCATAAGATTATATAAGTGAGACACATGAAATCAAGTGATTCCATATATAAAAACCCACCACTTTGCCTAAGAGAGGATGCATTTTGTTCACTGTTATTCCTGAAATTTATTCTGTTTATATAACATGAACACACAGTATCTATGATTATAAATTTCTTGGTAACCCATTGTTGGGATTTGTTTAAAATATTTTTAGTGACGATAATCTTTATCTCTTGTATAAATAAGTATTTCTTTGTGACCTTCATGACCAACTTAAAAGTTCTTTGAAAATCGTAACATGACCTTACCTTGCTTCCATTTTCTCTCGCTTCTTGTTCCATCTTGAGGTCAGAAATTAGCAGATTCTTATATTTGTTTTTTCCATTACTGCTGTGGTCATCTATTCTGTATTCTGAAGTCAGCTGTGCTGAGAGGGGACTGTCACTCAGGTTCAGTGGCTGCTCGTCCGGCTCCAGCCCAGTTTTGCCATCACCGTTAGAGTCGCCCATCTCCCTGCAGTGTGTTCCCCCTGAAGCAATTGAACTATGCCCCAGAGTCTCATTGCCATTAAAGCTCTCGGCAGCAGAATCATCTGTTGGAAAGAAAAATTTATATTTTGATTTTATTGATATGCTAATCAGTTTCTACTTCAACTAGCATTTTTTTTTTTTTTTTGGTACAAGAGATAAAAGGAAAATTTATAATGATAACAGGATAAATGTAACAAGAGGTATAACAATATTCATAAACAATACCCCTAAAAATTTGCTATGATTTTGATTGGGATTGAGAACTTACAGCTTGACAATATTGAATCTTCCTAGTCATGAACATGGAAGACGTCTCTATTTACTTAGTTCTTCTTTGATTTTGTTCATCAGAGTTTTGTAGTGTTCCTCATATATATCTCATACATATTTTGTTAAATTTATACCTAAGTATTTCATTTTGGCATGCTAATGTAAATGATACTGTGGGGTTTTTTTTTTGTTTTTTGTTTTAAACATCTTTATTGGAGTATAATTGCTTTACAATGGTGTTAGTTTCTGCTTTATAACAAAGTGAATAAGTTATACATACACATATGTCCCCATATCTCTTCCCTCTTGCGTCTCCCTCCCTCCCACCCTCCCTATCCCACCCCTGTAGGTGTTCACAAAGCACCGAGCTGATCTCCCTGTGCTATGCAGCTGCTTCCCACTAGCTATTTATTTTACGTTTGGTAGTGTGTTTATGTCCATGCCACTCTCTCACGTTGTCCCAGCTTACCCTTCCCCCTCCCCATATCCTCAAGTCCATTCTCTAGAGAATAGACTCAACTAGCATTTATTGAGCTCCAATTGTGTGCTTGGCATTGTGCTACCTAATTTTACATATAATGTGTAGTTTATCCTTAGCAATAAACTTGTGAAGTAGCCATTCTTATTTTTAATCTAGTAGGCAAATTTAGGCACAGGAAGTGAAGTAAAATAATTAGAAGATAAAATAATAAGATGAAACAAAGAAAACAGTTCAATCTCAAATGCAATCTCAGAGAAAAGTAAATTAAAAAAAAAAAAGCGAGAACAAGATATTTGCCAATTATTTTGCAAGTAGTTTTTGTTTTTCCAGGGAGAACAACCAGATTTGGTGAAAATTCTCTGATGAAAGCATCTTCCACCTTGCTAGTGGGGTATATACTGGTACAAGCTATGGGTGTTTAATATGCATCTGAAACATTAAAAGTGCTCAGAAACTTTGCTCCAGTCATTATGAAGACTCTTAAGCCTAAGGAGTTTAATCATCGCATGCATCTCTGTGCAGGTAAAAAGACAGTTAAATCAGTGTTGTTTATAATACAAGATTTAGAAATGATATAAATTATCAAAAATAAAAATTTGGCTTAACATATGTTGGAACGTTTAGATTATGGAATTAATCAATATTCCATTTTAAATACCCAAGAAAATGTGAGTCATGAGGCACTGACTGGAAAAAACTAGCTACAGAAAGGTGTGGTCGAGATGATCCCGATTTCGTAAAAAGAAAACACATAAACACAAGAACAAAAAGACTGAAAAGTTGTAGTCCAAAACATTAATACTGATGTCCTCTTAACAGTGTGGCACTGGATTTTCTAATATTCTCTATTATCTACTCTATGTATAACTTATAATGTATTATAAAATGTATCATTTATAATATATAATTAAATGTATATATAATTTTTCTATAACAAAAATGGAAAAACTGTAGAAAAAAGGGAAAACGGAGAAGCAGAATTAGGAAAACTTTTCTGGCTTTAAAATGTATAATAAGCTTGTTTAGAAGATCAATAACAGTGTACTCAGAGTCAGAAATAAAATTTACATAAAAAATAAAATTTTGTTTCTCTTAATTTCCTCTTTACATTTATGATAAGAATTTACTATTAATTTTAAAGGATTATGATGGACAAAAGTATTAAACTGTTTTCTTTAGGGCAGGGCTATCAATGAAACCATGTAAATATCAGTGAGCAAGAGTAGTAATATTCAGTGATTTTTTGTGACTATTTTGTTTGATTTCTGCTATTCTCAAATATGCTTTCCTTTTGTAAGGTGTAATGAAATATTTGATGCCATCTAATCAATTAAATTCACAGAAATAATGTTTACATTCTGAAGTAGTACAGCTCACTTCTTCATTCATTTGTTCAACAAACATTTACTGAGTGCCTATTTTTGGCCAAAAGGGGGTTAAATATTTGACCAATAGAGACCCCTGCAGCTTCAATGAGTCAATGAGTTCACAGATAATTTAAAGAGACAGAAAAATAAACATTCAACTAAACTACAGAGTAAAAAAGGAACAAGGAATCCAGAACAAGGGATAAAGGCATCAGAGAAGGTTTCTAAAGAAGGTGGCTGAATTCCAAAGCTTTAACCAGGTGAAGAGTTGGGGAAGAGCATTCCGCACCTAGACATCGGCAGGTGCAAAGTCACAGAGGCAAGAATATGCAGGGCACATGAGGAATAAGAGTAGAGAGCTGAATGCAAAAGAGAGACAGAAGAAAGGAAGACCTAAAAAGGGAGGAAGATAAGTGTTTTGTGTATCAGAGAGCTTGGATTTTACCTTGAGTGTCAACAGAAGTAATTTTAATTTACTGTGGGAAGTGATGTGAAAAAAATATGCTTTAAAGAGATGACTCTGTCTTGGATGAGAATAGTATGAAGGTGACAAAATGGAAATTGGGGAGACCAGTTAGGAGATGTAGAAGCCATCTAAGTCAGCATTGCTGAAAGCTCAAACTAAAACAGCAGCAGTGCAGAATAAGAGTGGATGACTAAACAAAATCTTAAGAATAGAAAATAAATCGAAAACAAACTTATGGTTACCAAAGGGGAAACGTAGGGAGGAGGAATAAGTCAGGAGATTGGGATTAACATACACACTCTACTATATATAAAATAGGTAACCAACAAGGACCTACTGTACAGCACAGGGGACTCTACTTAATATTCTGTAATAACCTAAATGGGAAAAGAATCTGAAAAAAATGAATATATGTATATGTATAACCAAAACACTTTGCTGTACACCTGAAACACAACCTTGTAAATCAATTATACTCCAATAAAAATGAAAAAAAAAAAAGAACAGTTAAGATTGGTAATAGATAGACAAGGGTCCAGAACAAAGCCCAGGTTCCTTGCTCTAGTAAAAAATGAAAACAAAGGGCATTCAGTGTAATTATCAGCAAAATAGCATTTTTAAACAATTTTCAGAACCTATTTTGTGAGAAAATTAAAACGTGTTCACAGCGCAAGATTCTACTTTTAAATTACTCTGTTTATGTACCCGTTCAAGAAAAGACCTCATTTGGAGAGAAGACAAGAGAATTTAGGAAACTGGCCATAAGAAATATGACGTAGCAGTTTCCATGGCTATTAATTTGAGAAACTGATAACATTCTTTTAACAAGGAAATATCAAGGTTTGAAAAACAAAATTAGGGGAATAACGTATGAGTAATTTGGAATTTTATGGATGTTCTTTTATGCTAAGTCATATGGTTATGCTAAAGTATGAAAGGTCATTTCTGATTATTTCTTTCCAAGAAAATCCAAAGAAGAGTATAATGGACACATTCAAGTCCAATTATTTAATTCATGAAGAAAACTGTGATTTAACATTTGTGAATTAGAATCCTTTAAAAAATAATAAAAGTTTCATGTAAGAAAAGTTTATCAATATGTTAAAAAATGTAACTCTAAAGATACATTTAAAAACTAAATCTACATTAGCATGAAACAAATCCAATATCAATTATAGTTAAAAATTAAACAAGCTATATCTGTTTCTTTAATCTGATATCATCATACATATTAGTAAATAGTATACCGTTTATTCATTTTTCAGGTAAGAGAAACATCATTTATCAGGAGAGTCTTTAATAAAAGTCATGTATTTATAATTTTTGTATAAAGAATAAACGAGAAAGTATTTTTAGACAGAGTGGTTCACTCCAGATGTTACCAAGGTAACTAAATTCAACAGCTTTACATATTTCATTCCTGAGTAAATCAGTACGTTTCATGAAGAACAAATTAATTATTCACTCATTTGTAACAAATACATATCCACATATTTTATCTTGTAAATGGTAAAAGAACTGATAATCTCACATGCCACTGTTTCATAAATCAAAATTTAAAACAAAGTTTTTGATGTCTGTATTAGAAAAATTTAATATAAAGAGGTGAGCAGACATTGAGGATACCGTAATGATTTTTTATTGTCTAGCTTCATAAAACCATGTTAATGGCTTTTATTCTCTCTTCCTTAAAGATACTTTTTCAGAATTATAAACCACAAATCTAAGACTCCTGTTTATCATAACAATTCACATCAGTTTACTGCTTTACATGGGAAATCTGCTTCCTTACCCAACAGAGTTTGCTCCATCCTGAGTGGCTGCTGGCATATGGGTACCGGGCTGCTACACATGTAGTGTTTAGATCTGTAGATATGACCTTTAGGTTCACAGGCCCTGATCGATGGTGTTTGTCTCAAATTTCAGCCTGGGTACCATAGAATTGGAACCAAAAACTCTGTCTTTGAGTCCCAAGGAAAATCAGCACCTGGAGCTTTGGAAATTAAGGTGCCCAGTGTACCTAGCAACAGAGGAGAATGTGAAATATGATGACAGGTAGTGTGGAATCTAGTGACATCAGGAGGGCAGTTGAATATTTGGGTTGTGTTTGTGCTGAGGTTAGTTTTGATGGGATGAATTTAGTGTTGCCAAGGGGGCTGTCCAAGTGAGCCTGGCTCTTGTCTATCACACTAACCATGAGTGGCAGCCTATTTGTTTACTTCTTTCTCCTTCCCTACTCCCCATTCCCTCCACCAAATAGTACAGACCCTAGAAATACCATTTGTTTAAATTATTTCTAACATCCCCACCAGCATTTTGTGTGAAGTAGTTTCATCAGCACCAGAATCAATGGTTAGTTCTCCCTATATAAAAAGAACTAACCTATAACAGTGTGTGGTGTATGTATATTTAAGTATATCTACTAATATACATAATATGTATATCTATCTCTCTATCTCTTTCTCTCTCTATATATACATACATATATCTATTTTCTCTATATATGTATACATGTATATGTATATCTCTATTTCTGTGTATAAATATATGTGATATATATTTGAAACCTCCCAAAGCACCTGACCTACTTTTGTACTCACTTTCAGTAGCTCTTCATTATGGCCTTTAGGCCAAGTGCCTTGGGAAAAATGAATAGGAAAAATATATATATCATCTTCGTTTTAAGACTAATACTTGGAAATTTAATCCTAAAATGCAGGTCAGATGCTTATAAGGTCCAAAAAACTATTTATTGTTTGCCCCAAAATGCAACATAGTCTCCCATCTCTAGTCCTTTGACTACATTTTGAAGTCAAAACATTCAGACTAAGGAGAAGTTTACTGATGCAGATAAAGTCATACGTGTGTTACATATGCATGCATGACTACTGCTGAAAGGTTATAGGACATTGATTTTAAAATGATCAAACCAATACTGAGAGTAAGAAAGTAACAAAGAGATTCAGTTTCCCAGTAAATTAATTATACGGAAGGGTGTTATCCTTGTTTGGGAGCTCTTAATTCGGCCCTTGCCATTGGAAGAATGGGCTCTAATTAAAGGAGCAGGATAGGGATGGCACTGAGATAAGCTACGTGTTCCAAAGCATATAACTTAAGCTCAGCACAATAATTAAATAAGACTAATTCTGATCTACCAACGAGGAAATAATGTATATTCTTTATATTACTTTCTTTACAAATTTTAACCAAATACCTATTATGTGCTAGACACTCTTCTTGAGATTGTGAGTGCATAGAGACTCCACATGGAATTTGTTCTTAGACTATAACAAAAGAATTACAATGCAAGGCAGAAAACAGTATCTATCCTACATGAGTTTCATATAAGGCACAATGAATAAACTAGGTTCTTAGGAGAAAGAAAAGTTGCCTATACATCGCTGGGGATGAGGAAGATATCAGAGAAGGCAGGTTACAAGAGGTGCAGTTTGAAAGAGGTGAGATATATGATGGTGATGGTGGAGGTTATTCTACTTCAGAGAGTATAGAAGAAAAAGAAACACAGGCAGGAAAGAGCTGGAAGAGGACAGGGAATTGAGTATATTCTACAATTCTACATACTAAGACAGGAAACTGTATATTTCAGTAAAGTTGTGGACCTTTTACTCTATATTCCTTTTTCTGGATCACATAAAATCATTAACGGTTCGTTCTCCCAGGGTAGGTACTTGGAGAAGCCTACTGACTATGTGAGGCTAGTCTATTAAAGTCTATCTCTGTTCCCACCTCAGAGCCACTGTCAACTGACTGATAACAAAACATTCTCCCAGTTCTAAGAGGACCTATTTTTTGAAGTGGCCATTAATGTAATAACTTATGAATGGTTTCTTAATTGTCTAAATAAGTTATAAACTACTATTTTCATGCTTACCATTAGCTTGTTTAGGATTTCAAAGAACCAGACATTTTATAGAAAATGATAGGCATTAACATTTTTAATAATTACAATGTTATTTGAAAATATCTCTTATTTTGCTGATGAAGTCACAGTTACTGTGAATACTGTGTTTTACTGACTACATTTATAATACAATAAAATGTTAACTTTCAGTTAGAGGTAAGTGAAAATTATATAGGTATGGATGTATATGTATACATATATACATGTGTGTATATATAGAGTGCTTTATACAAAGTTGATGTCATTTATATAAATTTGATAATAAGACAAATGATGTCATAGATAGCCAATGAACTAATGCAGCTGAATAAGACATTCATATAGTATTATCAACTCACTCAAGAAGTTATTTACTGCTATAACTTAAAACCAAAACAATTGGTACTGTGGGTCTTTTATGTTCTGTCTCATACAACAAGCAGTATATATGATGATAAAATCTCATTAAATTTAAAGTAAATCTAAGACAATTATAATATAGAAGTTCAATGTTTTCCATGAAAACTGACAGCTAACCACTGGAGAGAAATGCTCAAGAAAACACATTAAATGGGCAATAGAGGGGCTTCCCTGGTGGTGCAGTGGTTGAGAGTCCGCCTGCCGATGCAGGGGACACGGGTTCGTGCCACGGTCTGGGAAGATCCCACATGCCACGGAGCGGCTGGGCCTGTGACCCATGGCCGCTGAGCCTGCGCGTCCGGAGCCTGTGTGTGCTCAGCAACAGGAGAGGCCACAGCAGTGGGAGGCCCGCGTACCGCAAAAATAAATAAATAGGCAATAGAAACAAGAAACAATGTCATGTAGTATTATAATAAAGCCATTCTATTAGAAAGTGATTTGAAAATTTATAAAAGGAGCAACTCAGGGCTTTACTATGAATTATCTTAAACTGAAAACTAAGTTAAATGAAAAATAGGTGACAGATTTGGGCTAAGTGATTCTGAAAAGAAATATTCTAATTAAAGCTAAAATTAATGCAATCCAAAAGGAGTTTCCCCTAATTTGGCATTTAGACAAACAACAACTCAGGAGGTTTTTTTGCCTTGCCAGTAATAAGTCAGGAAATACTTTATCCTGAAAAGCTGAAAAGCAATGAAAAAAAAAAAAAGAAAGAAAAAGAAGACCAACTATAACAAGCTTACTATTTGAAGCAAGTGTCATGGAGCTGGATAGGACTTTGGCTATCTTCAAATTTATCCTTACAGCAAGCACTGTTGGGTCTTTCTACCTCACAGAAGCTCCCCTCTCTGGGAAGTGCCCCTGGCTCACAGTGATAAGACATAAGTAGCCATACTCCTATTTTGTCTGTTAACATTTTTTGGATCCAATTCCTTCACTAACTTGAACAAATTAGCCATTATTCTGCCTAATGCATCCTTCTGAGTTCCTGTCCACCAGGTCACAACAAGCCATTTGCTTTCACTCACTGCTATGTCCCAGGATCATATTAATTCTCCGGTTCTGTACCACAGTCTAGTTCACAGGGGACTTTAACTGCCCAACCAAATCCTGCTAGAAACCACCACAGTTCTACATATGATGAAACCATACTAAAATTTCTGGGGAGCAAAAATGGTATAACCATGTCTGCCTTGGTAAGACATGATGATAAGGGATGGATGATAACTCTAAAATACAAGGACCTGCATTCTCGATGAGGGGGAATCTAGTGTTCTAGAGCATAACTATATACTATACACCCACTCCAAAGTGAAGGATATGTTGTTAAAACTTGACTTCTTTACCAATAAGAAGAAGGCACATCACCTAGTAGGTTTCATCTGGTGTAGATTACAGTGAAAGGGGATTTTCCACTTGACCTTCATGAAGACAAAATGAATCAGGTATCTGTAGCAGACCAGGATTGCGTATGGAGCCAGCGGTAATCCCTAACAGGAGAATTTTTGTCAGGACAACCAAGGTTTTAGTGTAAGGCAATATATTTTTCCTTGAGTGACTTTGCCTTTTGATAAGAGCTCCTAACTCTTTTCCAGTTGGACATCATGAATTGAGCACACTGGGTCCACTAAACATTGTATTTAGGCATGCTCAGTAGTCCTTCCTCATCAAGTAGAAGTGCAATATATAGAAGTGAGTCTGTTCAGCCCCAGCGGCGTGTGAGCAGGTTGCTGAAAACTGTCACACAATAGTTGTTTCTTTCATCTCTGCCTAAGTGTCTTAAAAGAAGTTCTTTATAAAATCTGAGAACGAAAAATGTCAGCCTGGTTTCCATAACTCTGTGAAACACTGCAAAGGTACAGTCATTTCATGGAGAGACCCAAATATAGAAGAAAATCCACTAAATGGGCAAGACTTTGAGCAGTAAGTCTAGTTGTATATTCTCCTTAGAACAAAGATAATCTACAGTTATTTTTTACACCATTTCTTTGGCAGCAGCCAAATGGTATAGAGACGTGAAAAAGAAGAGTTTGGAGTATTTTTAAAGAGAAGTTGGAGGAAGGATGATATTTGATAGATCTTTCACAATAGGCTAAGGGCTTAAAATGTTCATATCCATGTTAATTTCCAACAAGACCCCACTAGCATAGGAGTTGAACTTCATAATCAAGTGTACAGAGTGACTTTTCCTGTGGACATCAATCATCCTACCTGCCAATCCTAGGTTTGCTCAGTGGGATCATGAATTGCGTGGCAATTAAAGTGGGGGTAGAGGATACACATGGGCAGGCACTGGGGGCTTCCATCACCATGTTGATCTGAGTACCCAGTTTGCCAACAAAGTACCCAATCTTAAGATCCTGATAGAGTACAAAAATCTGAGAAGCTTGCTAACTTCTCTGTGGCAGAGCACTTGTATTTGATGCCTTTAATTAGAGGGGATAGTTACTTGTCCTCAGTAGATGGACACTTACTTTTGACTTGGTCCTGTATTTCTTGCCCATTCTTTCTCTAACACAACTATATATGAACCTCAGAATGTTTTATATGCTACCTTTTATCCCCCCACACATTAAGTTTAATCAAAGAAATCACATCGCAGTAAAAGAAATGAAGCAACTGGAAGATTTCCCTTGGAGTCATTGCTCTTTTTACCTACTCCATCCCTAACAAATTACAGACCTTAAAAAATAATGGAA